CAAATGCATTGTAGGCCCATTTTCAAAAACATTGTTATGTAAAATGTAAAATTTCCTTGTTACTAATTCTAATTTTGAAATATCCAAGACTATGGAGTGTTTGCATTCACAAAAAGATCAAAAAAAATTTGTTAAATACAAGCGAACAGAAAAATAATCAAGTCAGGACGCTCAGCGGTAATTAGAGGCAAACATAGGCCTAGTCTCAGGAAATTACAGAAGATGAATGAAGAGCCCCGAAGAAGACATAGGGTGGGAGAAATAAATGTTAAACTGTTTATAACGTGCCCACCAATATTTATGTGACTTAATGTTTAATTCCGCAGTCGTTTCTAGGTTGTTTGCTGCATTAGAACACACAATTATGGTTTGAAGATTAATTTTCTGGAAAAAAAAAAATGTGTTTCACTAGTTATAAACTCCAATGGAAAGTTTTGGTTGTTCGTCCACTTCTGGATTTTAGTCTTGGTCCAGCACTCGAGCTTTGCGTGCACAACTGTGTTACAGATCCAGTGAAGACTGTTGGTTCCGTGTCTGTAAAATGCACTCTTTTTTAGAAGACAACGCCCCTAATTAGTCACTTTTATGACATGTTTGTTGGGCAAGACTAAGTACATTTTATTTAAAACACAGATCCTCTGGTAGTATACATTAATGTTAAGCTAATTTCTATAGTGAATATTTCATCATTCAATGCACCTATCTTTTGACCCTTTCAAACAAGAAACAGCTAACATATTTTACATGAGATACACACATTTGGTTGGTTTTTGAGGTACATTTATGAAAGACTTGAGTAGAGCAGCAACTGTCACACATAACAACAGAGCAGTAGTAGCGATGGGGGTGATGGTGGTGGTCTTGCTCGTTTTTATTATCATAGTACTACTACAGAGTGGTGGTGATAGTGGTATTAGTCGTTGTTTTTTTTTTGCTGCTGCTGCTGTTTTTGTTGTTGTTGTTGCTGCTGTTATGCAGTAGTTATGTCTACCAACTAATGGTGTGTGATTTTCTAAAGAAGTCATGTCTAAGTACCATGGTGTGTGATCTCCTAAAGAAGTCATGTCTAACTACCATAGTGTGGGATTTCCTAAAGAAGACATGTCTAACTACCATGGTGTGTGATTTCCTAAAGAAGTCATGTCTAACTACCATGTTGTGTGATTTCCTAAAGAAGACATGTCTAACTACCATGGTGTGTGATTTCCTAAAGAAGTCATGTCTAATTACCATGGTGTGTGATGGCACCACAGATGCTTGTCTAATATACAAGCGTGTGTGATTTCGTTAATGCATGTTTGACGCTACGCTAAAAAACAGTTACTGTAGACATTATCAAGTCATGTCTGACAAACCAGCGATTTGTGATGTCAGTGTTCAGTTATGTCTGACTATCAGTGGTGTGTGATTCATAATTAAGTCATGTCTAACTAATGATTGTGTTTAATATCATCTGTAAGCTATGTTTAACAACTATGTTGTTTGATGTCTTTATCAAGTCATGTCTGACGTACCAACGGCGTGTGATGTCATTGTTCAGTTACGTCTGACCATCAGATGAGTGCTGTGTCATAATTAAGTAATGTCTAACAACTATGGTGTGGATGGCATCGTTAAATCATGTCTGACGCACCAACGTGGGTGACGTCATTGTTAAGTTATGTCTACCAACTAATGGTGTGTGATTTCCTAAAAAAGTCATGTCTAAGTACCATAGTGTGTGATTTCCTAAAGAAGTCATGTCTAACAACCATGGTGTGTGATTTCCTAACGAAGACATGTCTGACAACCATGGTGTGTGATTTCCTGAAGAAGTCATGTCTAACTACCATGGTGTGTGATTTCCTAAAGAAGACATGTCTAACTACCATGGTGTTTGATTTCCTAAAGAAGTCATGTCTAACTACCATGGTGTGTGATTTCCTAAAGAAGTCATGTCTAACTACCATGGTGTGTGATTTCCTAAAGAAGACATGTCTAACTACCATGGTGTGTGATTTCCTAAAGAAGACATGTCTAACTACCATGGTGTGTGATTTCCTAAAGAAGTCATGTCTAACTACCATGGTGTGTGATTTCCTAAAGAAGACATGTCTAACTACCATATTGTGTGATTTCCTAAAGAAGTCATGTCTAACTACCATGGTGTGTGATTTCCTAAAGAAGTCATGTCTAACTACAATGGTGTGTGATTTCCTAAAGAAGTCATGTCTAACTACCATGGTGTGTGATTTCCTAAAGAAGTCATGTCTAACTACCATGGTGTGTGATTTCCTAAAGAAGACATGTCTAACTACCATGGTGTGTGATTTCCTAAAGAAGACATGTCTAACTACCATGGTGTGTGATTTCCTAAAGAAGACATGTCTAACTACCATGGTGTGTGATTTCCTAAAGAAGACATGTCTAACTAACATAGTGTGTGATTTCCTAAACAAGACATGTCTAACTACCATGGTGTGTGATTTCCTAAAGAAGTCATGTCTAACTACCATGGTGTGTGATTTCCTAAAGAAGACATGTCTAACTACCATGGTGTGTGATTTCCTAAAGAAGACATGTCTAACTACCATGGTGTGTGATTTCCTAAAGAAGTCATGTCTAACTACCATGGTGTGAGATTTCCTAAAGAAGTCATGTCTGACTACCATGGTGTGTGATTTCCTAAAGAAGACATGTCTAACTACCATGGTGTTTGATTTTATAAAGAAGTCATGTCTAACTACCATGGTGTGTGATTTCCTAAAGAAGTCATGTCTAACTACCATGGTGTGTGATTTCCTAAAGAAGACATGTCTAACTACCATGGTGTGTGATTTCCTAAAGAAGACATGTCTAACTACCATGGTGTGTGATTTCCTAAAGAAGTCATGTCTAACTACCATGGTTAGTTAGTTAGCTAGTTAGTTAGTTAGTTAGTTAGTTAGTTAGTTAGTTAGTTAGTTAGTTAGTTAGTTAGTTAGTTAGTTAGTTAGTTAGTTAGTTAGTTAGTAGGGTTATCATCATTGCACTCCGGACATGTCCATAGGTGCTCAGATCCTCCCCTCAGTATGAAACCCAACTTCCGATGGCTAATAGTACCAGTTCTGTGTTGATTAACAAGTCTCCTGACGTGACTGGTGTGCGTCTCGTTTTTTGCTGTGCCGATCCTAATTCCCAAGTCTGCCATTCTGGCGAGTGATGTGGATTCACTGCCACCAAAGTCCTCTCTCCTTCCCATTTCTCTGAGGGCATTGATAATATCAGCATGATCCATAGGCTGACCGTCGGCAGTGATAGCGGATCCAGCCAACCTGTCAGCTCTTTCATTTCCATTGACGCCTGCGTGTCGCGTAACAAAAATAAAGGTGACTCCTCGCACAGTGGACTTCTGAATTGATTCAAGCCATTGTCTTCGCACTGAACCTGCCTGAACCCTCCGGATCATACTCATTGAATGACTGAGTATACATACGCGGGTGTATTTTTGTGTTTCAAGCCAGGCAAACGCTTGCGTCACTGCCATCACCTCCATCGTCATGCTGCTGGTTGTCATGGAGAAGGCGCCGTTGGCTTCTTTGACTGTTTTGCCCGCTGAGCGTTTGCCCATGCGCTTCTTCTTTGGCGTATAACGGATCCATCTGTATAGATTAGTGCATCTGCTTCGTCTGAATTTTCACCGATGAGAGCGTTGACCTCTGCATTAACAGCAACAGGATTCTCTTCTCTACATCGCCTGTTAAATGTACAAATAAACGCCTCAGGCACATGTATCCACTCTGCACCAGGTATGATGTCAGTTAAGCTGCATATTTGCCTAATAACATCTTCTGCCTGACTTAGCCACGATTTTCCCCTCATCAGTCTGTCGCCCTTTTCACTGAAAAGCGCTTGATGCAGTGGGTGTTTCTTATCAGCACATATTTTGAGATATGCCCGAGCCCTCCACATCCTGATCCTTTGGTTCATTGTTGGAAAGTCAATTAGATACCTCATTGCTCCACAGGATGTGTCTCTTGTACATCCCAAAATAATGCGCATGGCTTCATTTTGCACCTTTTCGAGTCGTTCAATCTGGGTAGCACTGACAGTGAGGATGGCCAGAGCGTATTCAATGGGGGAAAGGACCAGACCGTAAAATAGAAGTATTAGTAGTCTTTGCTCGATATTGGAAGCAGCCATAATCCTCATTGCAGATAGACCTTTGCGTGCTTTTGTTATCACATGGTCAACGTGTTCCCTGAATGACAAGCTGCGATCGAACCTCACTCCGAGAATCGTCATAACGTTGGTTCGGATCAATACATTATCACCCATTTTTACTTCTGGTAAGTCCGACTTTTCAATGTGATTGTTCAAAGAGAACCATTACACTGATGCCTTCGAAGGATTAACATAGGCATTGGAAGCATCACACCAGGCGGCAATTCGATCGAGTTCTTTGTGCATTGTTCTGGCAATCAACTGTCTATCACGCCCTTGTCGATAAATCAAAATGTCATCAGCAAATGACAAAGTCCTTCCCTTTCCATTCAACTGCTGCTCAGTGATCATCACCGTATAAACGTTGAATAAGACTGGTGATAGCGGCGATCCCTATGTCAAGCCTGGACACATCGTTTGCGGTTCTGAGGACCAGCTACCATATCTTAGTACAATCTTTCTCTCGAACAGGACCGCAGCAATCCAGCGGATCAGAATAAGATTTACTTCTAGTTTAAGCAGTAATTGCATTAAATAATCATATGGTACTTTATTGTAGGCATCTTTTAAGTCCAACACTGCCGCACATGTCTCTTCTTTAATCTGAAATCCCTTGTACACATCGTAGGCGAAAACTGCAGCATTGACTACCATGGTGTGTGATGGCTCCATAGATGCTTGTCTAATATACTAGCGTGTGTGATTTCGTTCATGCATGTTTGACGCTACGCTAAAAAAACAGTTACTATAGACATGTAATCTAGTCACGAAAATCCACTGTCAACCCTATTTAGTGTATTCTCACCTACATTTTTCAGTTTGACTTACTGAGATACCTGAGAGGGTTTGTCGTGGACAACATCACAGAGGATGAGCCTGTTGTGTTGTTTGCCACCCAGTATATGCAAAACATTGCCAAACTTCTGCACCACACAGAAAACCGGTAAGTCGTCATCATCATCATATAGCAGGTCCTTTACAGATGAAAGAACACACGTTTTTCATCAGCTCTCCTTCTTCAGGCACCGTCCCACCGACGGGGATTCTTATGTTGTGTGCCCATCTTCGTTTTAGTTAGCTAGTTGTTTGGTTAGTTAGTTAGTTGGTTACATTGGTAATTAGTTAATTGGTTATTTGGTTAGTTAGTTAGTTAGTTAGTTAGCTGATTAGTTAGTTAGTTAGTTAGTTAGTTAGTTAGTTAGTTAGTTAGTTAGTTAGTTAGTTAGTTAGTTAGTTAGTTAGTTAGTTAGTTAGTTAGTTAGTTAGTTAGTTAGTTAGTTAGTTAGTTAGTTAGTTAGTTAGTTAGTTAGTTAGTTAGTTAGTTAGTTAGTTAGTTAGTTAGTTAGTTAACTAGTTAGTTATAGTCCCTTCAACCATTGACAAACACACATGCAAGCAACTTTTTCTCGAAAACTGTCTGTTAAATCGCAATGATTTTGTGCATGCAGGCTTGGAATGAATATCCATGAGGCAATAAGAGTGTTTGGTATTCTTTAGTCCATAGATGCTCAGGATGCTGAATATCAGCCAATCCCTTTCATGTTTTCAAACCACTGTACATAAGTAGAGTGAACTTTTAGATTCTACAGTAAGCGAGTTTGAATTTCCGTTTTCTGAAGCGTGTCTTTATAATACTTTGACATGTGAAGTAAATTTATTTGTTGTCATTTATGTTCAATTGAGATGAGTTGAGCTGAGTCAAGAGAGACATCACAGCACTTGGGGCATTCACATATGTGCTTCGTCCCAGTTTTCAACAGCCAGCGCAGAGGTGCAATACAAATGGTACCAGACGCAGTCTGACTATATGTCCATCTTGTTTTTCCTCTGAGTGTAGTGTACCGGTCAGGACCTCTGGTCACACCCAAGTGTTTTATTCTCTCCAGACCATGTTAAATCTATTTTCTCTTCTTCTTCGTTACTTGTTCCCGACGGGCCTTGACCACATCTGCCTTGTCATGTATCAATACACCACTGTCAGAGACCTACTTTACCGACGTCAGGGCTAAGAGGCTCTTGGGCAGATCCATGCCAGAAAAGGTCAAAATTCGAAACACAGCGAACCAACACTGTCAGAGCATACATATCAGTTGTTATATCCTTCAGCGCAGAATGTATACAGTTTACCCCAGAGAAAGTTCCCCCGCACTAACACAACTGACCGTGAGGGGTTTTATAATCACCACTCACTCCAAGGTTCTCCTAGTTGACCCAGGTATTACTTGGGCTGGAACCAACAGTCCTCCGATTCCAGTTCTCTTATACGACAAGGTAAAATTATACCAGAACTACCGTGCTACCACACGGCTATGGCCAATGTGAGCGGAGAGACTATGTCTCATAACCAGGCGTTTTTGACTAAATAACCTTGACCGACGTCTTATTTTGGCTTCAAGTCACTAAAAGTGCCACTTTGAACGAGAAAATCATTAAATTGCACAGATTTTCTTTGACCTTTCTTAAACCAGTCATAGTGTGCATTACTTCCTGAAACTAATGTAAATAAACCTTCCTAAGGTGTACCAAAACGGTTTCATGATTAAAATTGTATCATAAAAAAAAAAAAAAAACTACACATGATATTCTTCTTTAGTAAGGAAAAGATTTTTTTTTTATATTTGTCATGGACATTCTAAGGCTGCATGCAAAAATTACTGCTGTATAACAGACAGTTTTGGGGGAAATGGTTTGCGTGTGTGTTTATTTATTGTTAAACGACCTATAGTTTTTAAAAAAATACTGGCCACTGCAATGCAACTTTTAAACTGTGGTTAGACACTTGGAAAGTAACCATATAAGCCTTTAGAAAAAAAGATAAGAAGGCAAAGGGACACTCTCCACGTGTGTTCTTGGTGTGACGCCCCAGTCTGTAACATCTACACAATTCAGTGGTTATAGAACCAGAAACAGATACTATCTTTAATGTTTTATATTGTGCGAACTAGCTTTAATTGAGGTAGGGAAATGTGAGCCTATCTGAGCGATGCAGCATTAATACGTGCATTCGTCGGTTCTTCAAGCGGTGTCCTATGCTTTTTTTTTAGCGGTGGCATGTGCTTCTTTTAGCGGTGGCATGTGCTTCTTTTAGCGGTGGCATGTGCTTCTTTTAGCAGTGGCATGTGCTTCTTTTAGAGGTGGCATGTGCTTCTTTTAGCGGTGGCATGTGCTTCTTTTAGCGGTGGCATGTGCTTCTTTTAGCGTCGTCATCTGCTTTAATATACGTAGGATTTTGCTATACGAGAGAGGGATCGAACAATAAATTGAAAGAAGAGTACCGTATTTGAAGTAATACTAATGAGAAGCCAGACCATATCGGGTAATATGTATGGACAGACGTCTTCAAAAGCAAAATATATTCCTTATAATGAATCTGCGTGTGTAGGCTTATGTAAAATTAACATCATTATTTTTGCCAATAATTAAAGGTAACTGATTATATAAGGTCTAATGAATATATTTCCAGTGTGCAGACACAGTTAAACTGTTAAATTTTCCTGTCTATTGATGTTTGTTGCCTCAGCACTCTGGCCAACTACCTCATCTGGAGACTGGTCAGCGATATGGTGCCAGAGCTCAGCGAACCCTACCAGCAGGTGGAGGCTCAGTATAAACACGTTATTCAGGTACAGTGCAACGAGCGGGTGCATTAGAGAAACATTTGTTGAATGAGTTGAAGTACCACTGGTTTAATTACATCATCCTCGTCATCACTCGGTGCCCTTAAAAGTCACACAGGGCTCACATTGGATTCTTCTGTTCCGCAATGTTGTATGCAACATTCTGGATTTCTGACATGAAGTTTAGCCCAGCGGTTTTAGCTTCTCGTAACAATTTGATTCTTAATGTTTTCTTTCTAAATCCTCTTTTCCTCAGACCATTTGTTTCCCATTTTAGTGGGGTTTTTATTGTTGTTGTTGTTGTTATAATTCTTTGCTCTTTTCGTCTCGGAGTTTGTTCAATAATCTTCACCTTTTTTGTCTCATTGCAGTCGTTACGTGTATTTGTCCAGACGTTTCTCTGATCACACTTTTTAAAAATGTATCCCATTTTATGTTTCTTAGGCGTGCAAGGGGCCGCGTTAGCGCAGTCAATAGGAGACGGCCAGTTTTCGAAACCGGACGGTTCCTGGGGTTCACCCATCCTGTAGGAAATGGGTACCAGAGTTGGTTCACATCTCCCGATTTACCCCCCCCCCCCCCCCCCCCCACCCAGACATTTATTTTCTTATACATTTAAATTTCGTTTCATTCATATCGTAGTTCCATTCATTTGCTAGAGCTGAAATAACACTAGAACTAAACATTTGTAGTTTAGTCTTCAAGGTCTGGACCTCCATTTTTTTGTTAAGGCTTTTAAAAACTGCTGTTGCTTTCCAAATGCGTGTCCTAATTTCCTTGGTGGTAATTCCTTGAGTGTCAACATTGCTACACAAATATGTGAAATGGTCTGTTAGTTTTATCGTTTTGTTCTATAGCATGACATCTACATGATCTGTTGTAAGTATCTTAAATGTATTTATTTTCTCGTAATTTATTTGTTGTCCTCTTTTAGATTCTGAAGACCGCAAAGCGTCTGTTTTTCTTTGCATTGCTTTATTACATTTACTTAACAGAAAATATTAGCGAAATCCAGATCGTCCAGTTATTTATTCTTTACCTAATCAATGACATTATTGCCTTTGCGACATTTTTGTTTAATTGCCTAATGAATGGTAACTGCAAACAATAAGCACGATTGAATGCAGCCTTGTTTCACTCCAGTTTACATTTTTTTAAAACAGTCACTTAGACCATTTTCAGAGCGCACTGCACATTCTGAACCATCGTATAGATATCCGATAAATCACTATGCTGGTATGCCGTAGCATTCTAAAATTCACCACACTTAAGCTTGCAAATGCCTTCTAAACATCAGTACAATTTGCTAGACTCTGCGAGGGACTGGTTACTGGCGGTTGATCTGCCGGGCAATGAAAGGTACCCCGAGTTGATTCGGAAGACCGGCCTGCGACCGGACATAGTTCTCCACTCTGCGCAAAAACGGCAGCTCATCCTGATTGAGTTGACCGTCCCATATGAGTCGCGTATGGAGGAGAATCACATGTATAATCTCAGGAAATACAGTGATTTAGCAGCCGGTCTGAGGAGAAACGAGGCGAACACAGTACGGGTCTTTGCCGTCGAAGTAAGAGCGAAAGGCCTCGTTTCCACTTCGCTCTACAATGTGGTTAAAGAACTAGGATTGCGCGGTAATGAACGGAAACGAACACTCAAAAAACTGGGAGAGGTAGCCGAAAGGGCCTCGAGCTAGCTTTGGACGCAACGCAACAACGTAGGGGACGAGCCTCGGTGAGCTGGTCCGGGTGTCTAGTGGAAAAGGGTTTCTCACCCTTTGAAAGTCCATCGTGTCCGAATTGTCTGCCAGTGTTCCTCTGCCACCTGCTAATAAAAGTCCAACATGTGTCCGGTAAACCAATCGTAAGCTTTTCGCTCGGTCGTCCAGGCACGCTGACTGCTTTAATTAGGCTGCCGTGGCGACTTCTTATCTCACAGTACCTTCTGCAAACCACCAAGTCGTCTTGTCTCTGGCCGAAAGAAAAACACCATCCGGTAATTTCGTGCAGCAGGGAACCAGCCCTGAGCTTCATGAACTTAGGTGGGCCCACCTCCGAATGCGTCTAGGAATCGTGGGCCGAAACGCGTGTCGACGAGGATAATTTCTACTGATGACTGGTAGATCCCTGCTGTACTTGCTCCCTGTGAGTTTATTCCTATCGGGATGAGAGGTTGTTGCCTTATCTACGTGCTTGTCTAGAATACGTCTCAGGAAAATTATTCGATCAAGACAACTTCTTCTAGTTCGAAAAACAGCTTGTTCTTCTGTCATGATTGTATCAACTGCCTCTTCAGTTCAGTCGGGAATTACCTTGCAAAAGCTTTTTGACATAACAGATAATGAGGTAATTTCTTTCCAATTATTGAAGTCGTTAAGATTACCTGTTATTTTTTTAAGTGTGTGTGTGGGAGGGGGGGGGGGTGTCTTCACACTAATGACTTTCTTCCATTGTCATATGACTGTCCCTCTTCCCATATTTTGTTAAATAGTCGTAGCAATTGTTGGATGGTTGTCTCATTTGCTCCTTTGAGCATTTTTGAGCATTTTTGCTTTGTTCTTCAGACTTCATTAAATCTAGTGAGTCGGGCCTGTTTATTAGGTTTTTTTTCAACTGTTCTGTACATCTTCTCTTCTGCTCAGCATTAGATGAGAGCATTGTGCTATCTTGGCTGTTGATTTCAATGTTCCAGCTAGTTGTTTTGATGTAGTGAAAACAGTATTTTTCTATTTCCAACTTAAGCTGCCGGTTTTTTTTCTTCAGCGTATGCTCTTTTATCTTTTCTTGCAACATTGTTTGCTTGTTTTTGGCTCTTCTTTTCTAAAATCTTCTTTAGTTCTAATTTCATATTGTGTTGTCTGAGCCGTACACATTGCAAATTAATCTGCCTTTCTATTCTGAATGCACTGACAGGTGTCATCACTTATCCGGGGCTAATTGCCTACTTAGATGATAATGATGAATTGCCCAATTTGCTACTGAATGTGTCAATACTAAATGAAATAAGCAGGCAAATGTATGGTAAATACTTTATCATCAACACTTGCTGTGGTAGCTGTCCATGTGTGTCCCTGTCACCTCAAGAGCTATTGCCTACGGTAGATTAGTCTTCCACTGGTCCGATCTTGACACATTACAGTGTATTTCATCTGTTACTTGCTTTTTTATTATTAATATTATTATTTAGTATTATGTTATTTTTTTCAATTGTATCAAAACACAACAAAAAGTTCCCAGTTTTTAATTTTTTTTAGAAAAAGACACGTTAAAACGTGATTACACACACACACGCACGCACGCACGCACACACACACATACACATATGCATATATATATATATATATATAAAACTGGTTAAACAAACATTTGATCAAAATTTAAATTGCTTGTCTATTAAAGCATTGCTGTTCCATTTTTTCCTGCTGTTTTTCACAACTGTTGTGGTGGTTCTAGTTTGTGCAGTAATGTTCTGGGTCGTTAACTTTGATATTTGCAATGCATTTATTGCTGAAAGCTTCAAACAACAGCCAGTTTTAAAATCCTTATATTGTTAAGCAGAGAGAAAACAGCTGCAAAGGAATGGAGTAATGCCAAAAGACTAAGCTTACGTTTTGATACAAATGGAACGCGATTTATGTCTAAGCCTCTTTATTCTAAAATTACAAACCAAGTTTATTTGTGGAATTTCTCTCTCTCTCTCTCTCTCTCTCTCTCCCTCGCTCTCTCTCTCTCTCTCTCTCTCTCTCTCTCTCTCTCTCTCAAGTACCAATCTAGGTGGCCTTGTATGCGAATGATTACATAAACTTGAATATTTCTCCCACCCAGTGACATTATTATAAACAGTTAGGTACAAATTCCCTAGTTATTTGCGAACCTACTGACTTCCCTTATGCTGTTGTTTAGTTTCACATGATACAATTCTTGTACCTTGTCACCTGGGTCGAACATTTTACATTTACTGATAGGGAGTTCAGCGAGATTCTGTGCGATGGAAGAAATGTGTCAAGTTTGTCAACGAAAAGATGGGAATGGCTGTCGGAGCTATGTTTATCAAAGACAACTTCAAGAAGGAAAGCAAAGAAACGGTGAGTGTTTAATTTTAGGGTAACTAACAGTACTATGCACGTAACAGCGTTCAGGTGTGCATATTAGAGTTACAAGTTATTTCAATATAATATTGCAATTGGTGTCACTACGTTTTATTGCCCTTATACCTTTAATTGTTCACTCTTTCTTTCTACTTAGGCCTTAGAAATGATACACAACATTCGTGAAGCTTTCAACGAACTATTAGAGGAAAATGAATGGATGGATGATCAGACTAGAAGCTTCGCAAAGGAAAAGGTAATTGTCCACAATTTGGTACCAGGCGTAAACCATGTATTAAAACGTATCTAACCAGACATTCAGTATTAGACTGATCCGTTTATCATTTCACCAACTGAAGTAAATAGTATACATAAGCACCATATTACTTTATCCGTTTGGAAAGTAACATTTAAGTCCCCATTTTGTCAGCAGGGAATTTAAAATATAAATAACCATTGCATCATCTCCTCGGTATGAGAACCCCCCCCCCCCACCCCCCCCCACCCCCAAATGAGTTATATTAGTTGATCAGTTGAAAAGCTAAATATGCATCGCATTGTAACCATTTAATTAATTGGAGAACTAAGAGTTAATCACCAGTATGTCACTTTATCAATTGGAGACATTTCACCTTAATATCATTCCACTTTCTGGGAGTCCAAATATAAATATTCTGGCACCGGATGGCTTGAGCCTATAGCAAGAAAATTACAAAAGTTGCACGATGTGATACACACTGTAACTACAGACAGCACAAATATGTGACTACAGCTAGACAATATAAAAACAGTAATTACGGATATAATAACTCTTATCCCACACAGAACTTTGCACTCATGCAGGTATTTAGAAGTCTCCATAAAGTTCTTGATTGAAATGGTTTTCCTTGTATGCTCTTGCAAAGAATCTTGTCCACATTACCTTTCTTCTTTGCAGTGAACATACTGTCGGTCACCTTGTCAGTATCTGTATAACTGCGGCCGCGAGCAAAGAAACAACACAGGGATAGACACTGGCAGAATTGGCAGTAAACAAAGAAACGCTGAAATAATGACAGTGCAACCCCTAGATGGGGAAAAAAATAAGTGAAAGCTGTATCCTGGCAGATGAAAACTGTTGTATGTAACAGATTCCCATCAACTGAACTCACAACATGAATTTTGGGTTGTTGAATGTTGCCCCTACTCCTGGAGGAGAGAGAGAGAGAGAGAGAGAGAGAGAGAGAGTGAGAGAGAGAGAGAGAGAGAGAGAGAGAGAGAGAGAGAGAGAGAGAGAGAGAAAGAGAGAGAAAACAAAATCGTGCATGACATTTAAATATGCTACCACTTCAAAATAATATTGTGCGTTCTTTTGTAGCGTCCGTAGAACCTTCAATGATGACCATCTCCTTTTGCTGACCACCTCCAGAGGTTGATATCATTTTCATTATTTGAACGGTCACCGCAAATTCTTTTACAGAAATAAAACAACATGCGAATTCAAATATATATAGGGTCATTTTTAATCTCAGATAGAAGAATGGATAGAGAAATCAGCATACGATGTTCGAAAACAAATCAGGTTAATAATGGGATAATTGATACCGCTTCTAAAGCATAAAAAGATATTTCTGTCAAACAAAGCAAATCTCATTAAAAAAAGTTTTTGGCCGACAATGCGCTACCAGTGCCAAACATGGACCCTTACTTCAGCAACAGAGGTGAGACATCCTAGGAGAGCTGCAGGTGTGACAAGAAGAGATCAAATCAAGAATGAAGAAATTAGAAGAAGACTGGGGTTGAAACCAGTTACACAATTCATTAAAGAAAAACAAATGAGATGGTCTGGCCACCTAACAAGAATGTCCTGATACCAACTGCCACAAAGAGCCACGCTCAAGAAATATAGCACAGAGAAAGGGGAAGACCACGCAAGAGATGGAGCGACATCATCAGGAGCAACCTAACAGAAATGAACACCAACTTGTGAAATGCATTGGAAAAAAAACAGAAACGATCCTTACATGCCCGCCTAACGCCTCAAGGAGGTAAATGGCGGAAGAAAAAAAAACACCGCATATTCTCAGTGGAATACTACCTTTGATCACCCCACAAATGTTTTATGTTCACCCCTTAGGAATAAGACGCGCAAAAATAATTTACCATCTGTCGAAACAGCCACTTTCCCTCAGTGCTGTCTGAAGTTATTTGAAGGGCCTTGGACTGATGTTTAGCTAACAGGCGAAATCACATTCCAAACATGTTAATTGCGCTCAATTTCTGAAACACTCATTGGAAAACATTACAAGTGAGACAAGTTGCTGAATTATCCTCCCCCCCCCCCCCCCCCCCCAACCCCCTTTTCTCCCTCGGGGCAGGGGGTCCAAGCGCCCCTGCTTCTATGCATGGTTAGTCCTCTTAAACCTTTCAAGAGGTCCTTAAGGGACCAGAGCCCTCATGAGGTTCAAAAGAAATGATTCAAACATGATAAACCGATGATGATTTGATTTGATGTTGTGGTCGTTATGATTTCATATTCTACTGGATTATCAAATATATGTTGTTCCAGGAATTATAGCATCAAGTAGTGTAGGCTTCTTTCCGTATGTTGATCACTTTCCTAAGCCCTGTCCCTTTGGTGGTCAACGTACAAAGTTCTACTGTCTGTCTTTCTTCTGCACCAACCAGTACCAGTCAGATTATTGAACGTGTTTATCATACTGTGTCATTTCGCAGTTTATTGTTTATTATGACTATTTTTTTTTTTCTACAGCGAAGACTTTAATAAACAATGATATAATGATAAAGCGAGTAAACGAAGACTGCATTGCAGTTTATATTGTCTCAATCTTCTCTACACAGGCAAACGCCATGACTGAAAGAATTGGATATCCAGATTTTATTGCCGACCCAATGCAGCTGGATGCTAAGTATGAAATGGTAAATAACCATTACTCTCTCTTTCTCTCTCTCTCTCTCTCTCTCTCTCTCTCTCTCTCTCTCTCTCTCTCTCTCTCTCTCTCTCTCTCTCTCTCTCTCTTTCTCCGCCCCCCCCCCCTTTTTTTTCTCCTGTGTCCCTTTATGTGTGTGAGTGTGTGTGTGTGTGTATGTGTGTGTGTATCTTTGTTTCTGTCCGTCTAACATTTCCACTGACTGTTTGGCAATGTGTAGGTGTGTATCTTTAAATGTAAAAGTATGAGTGGGGGAGAGATGAATAATGAACTGATAAGTCATCCCCAGTCTCATCCTGTTGTGAGGTTTATGCATCACATAGGCTTGCAATCTATTAATCTATTCCGAACTATTTTGTGGCATTTCTTCGAATGACAGAGGTACCCTTTAAAAGCAGCTTTGAGCACTCGTCGACGTTCGACTAAAGGTTTTTTTCGTTTTCTCAGTCCATTTGTTTGTCACATTAGCGCCTGTTTGGTGATTGTCCATTGTTGTCTTCTTTTGTCAACTGAGACGAGAAAGAGAATGCTTTAAAGCTATCTAAATTCTATTTTGATGTACGGTGAATCATGGACAGCTAGTGCAATTAGTGAAAACTTATCTGGAAGCTGCGGAGATGTGGTTATAAAAAGAAAAAAAAATAAAGACGTCTTGAAAGAAACTGGCTCATAAGGAGAACTGATTGCCCATATTAGAAAGAGACTATTTACATTCTTTGGTTATGTGAAGAAAAGGAGAAAACTGGAGTACGTCGTGACGGTAGGAAACTTGCAGGAGAGGAGAGGCAGAGGGAGACCTAGAGAACAGATGATGGACAGTTGACATCATGACATGGAAGATCATCTGTGTCAGAGTTGATTGAAAGTACACAAGACAGAAGGTTGTGGGTAGACATGAGTACCAACGCCACACGGTACGATCTCTAAGAAGTTGTCTTGTAACTAGTTGATTCTCTGGAATAGTTACTTTTCTGTGGATTCGTGTAGCAAGGACGTGTTTACACAGTGATAGGGAAGAACCATCGCCGCACCCAACCTTCCGCGGTTCTCCTCCAAGCCGCTGATAGTGATCGAAATAGGAATTAGTGAATAGATGTGTTTATTCTGTAAAATGCTAAATGCTGATCACCATCATCATTGTCCTGATGCGCAATTAAATGACTCATATGGTTCGCAGTCTATACCTCCATTCCATTATATCCTGCGGAATCAATTCCATATCATGGATGGAATATAGTCCAGCCCCTGTGGCCTCTCTCGTCAACGTTCGTTTTAGGGTTTCTTTTAGACGTCCTCGTCTGTTTGGTGATTCTCTACTCGTTTCTTTTCGGTTACTCAGTACTAATGCTAACTAACCCAGCAATATGTTCGATCTATATGATATATAGCCTAATGTCAAATTCATCTAAAGCAGTTCTAATTCAGTTACAATTATAAACAACGTAGTGCTCTAGTGAAAGAAGCAATGAACCAAAAGCAGTGGCAGACAGACAGACTCTGTGAACTGTAGTCAAAAGTTGCTTGTGCATTGATTTAATTGTTGACAAATTGGTGATTCATTATTGTATCATTTTCCTGTCGTTTATCAGCTGAACTTTGAGGAGGATGCATTCTTTGATAACTTCCTCAAACTGTTGGAATTCGCGTCCAAGAAGATGATGGAGAAATTACGGCAGCCTGTACGGCAGGATCTGTAAGTGTATTCCCATTTTTGTGACCTCGTTGTTCTGTTTTCTCCTTACCGTGTGTGCATTCTGTTGCGTTGTTTGTTTTCTCATAGCCGTGTGTGCATTCTGTTGCGTTGTTTGTTTTCTCCTAGCCGTGTGTGTATATTGTTGCGTTGTTTGTTTCCTCTTAGCCGTGTGTGCATTCTGTTGCGTTGTTTGTTTTCTCCTAGCCGTGTGTGCATTCTGTTGCGTTGTTTGTTTTCTCCTAGCCGTTTGTGCATTCTGTTGCGCTGTTTGTTTTCTCCTAGCCGTGTGTGTATATTGTTGCGTTGTTTGTTTCCTCTTAGCCGTGTGTGCATTCTGTTGCGTTGTTTCTTTTGTCCTAGCCGTGTGTGCATTATGTTGCGTTGTTTGTTTTCTCCAAGCCGTTTGTGTATTCTGTTGCGTTGTTTGTTTCCTCCTAGCTGTGTGTAAATTCTGTTGAGTTGCTCTTTTCTTCCTAGCTGTGTGTGTATTCTGTTGCGTTGTTTGTTTCCTCCTAGCTGTGTGTGAATTCTGTTGCGTTGCTCCTTTCTTCCTAGCTGTGTGTGTATTCTGTTGCGTTGTTTGTTTCCTCCTAGCGGTATGTGTATATTGTTGCGTTGTTTGTTTCCTCTTAGCCGTGTGTGCATTCTGTTGCGTTGTTTGTTTTCTCCTAGCCGTGTGTGCATTATGTTGCGTTGTTTGTTTTCTCCAAGCCGTTTGTGTATTCTGTTGCATTGTTTGTTTCCTCCTAGCTGTGTGTGAATTCTGTTGAGTTGCTCTTTTCTTCCTAGCTGTGTGTGTATTCTGTTGCGTTGTTTGTTTCCTCTTAGCCGTGTGTGCATTCTGTTGCGTTGTTTGTTTTCTCCTAGCCGTGTGTGCATTATGTTGCGTTGTTTGTTTTCTCCAAGCCGTTTGTGTATTCTGTTGCGTTGTTTGTTTCCTCCTAGCTGTGTGTGAATTCTGTTGCGTTGCTCTTTTCTTCCTAGCTGTGTGTGTATTCTGTTGCGTTGTTTGTTTCCTCCTAGCTTGTGTGTGAACTCTGTTGCGTTGCTCCTTTCTTCCTAGCTGTGTGTGTATTCTGTTGCGTTGTTTGTTTCCTCCTAGCGGTATGTGTATTATGTTGTGTTGTTTGTTTCCTCCTAGCTGTATGTGTTTTACGTTTCGTTGTTTGTTTCCTCCTAGCTGTGTATGTATTCTGTTGCGTTGTTTGTTTCCTCCTAGCTGTGTGTGTATTCTGTTGCGTTGTTCCTTTCCTCCTAGCTGTGTGTGAATTATGTTGCGTTGCTCCTTTCCTCCTAGCTGTGTGTGTATTCTGTTGCGTTGTTTGTTTCCTCCTTGCGGTATGTGTATTCTTTTGGGATATTATTGGTGAATATTCAGTGTTGCTTCCACACAATCTATACGTTTTGCAATATAAGTGTTCCAGAATTTCTAAAGTTAAGAATGGAAAGAGGACATAACGTTATATGTGACGGGATCAATACGCTGCTGATAATGAAGAATGAAACATACATTCGTAGATGATTATATACCTTTACATCGACACACAAATATAGATGTTATGTAAGGATTATTGTCTTCAATTGGTCGTAGAGCATAGGACAAGTAACACTGTTGGGTTTTAGCATAAGTAAAACAAGCCACAGCTTAGCACCTCACAATCTGCAGAAGTCTCAAAAACCCTATTTGTTACAGAGATCTTTTTCTGATATAATCAATGAATTTGCATTTGGGAATCGAGAAAGTGAGGTTTACTGTTGTGAACTACAGCCTTTTAGATGATTATGTAATACGATTTATGTAACTTCGCCAACACATTCATTATTATTTCTTTAATTAAAAATCAAAACGACAGTATAATTCCACTATTCGTATTTTTTAAGTTTTCAGAGAATAATTGGTGTAATGTTAGGTTAGGGGCCTTTTGGCTTTATATAGCTTAGGGCCTTATCAAATCTAAATATGTATCTGACTAGTAAAGAAACTTGCCACCGAGTTGCCACCGCTGTACAGTACATGTTACTATTTGTCACTTGTGTGGAAGCAGTAACAACAGAAATAAAGTCTAGGCGCCTTCCATAACTGGTCTACATGTTTTAGGCCCGGATTTTCTCCTACTGCACTTATTTGAACTCTTGGATAGAGAAAAGACAAAGTTGTGACTATGCAACGGATACTGTGAGATTCGAAGTTATATACATTGTCGCTGCGGTAGCCAATTAGATCAGCCGGTTACCTTAACGACCAAGTGACACGCTTACGATTGGCTCATCGGATACATGTTAGATTTTAGCATTTGGCAGAGATACACTGGCAGACATCTGTCGGATACTTCAGCTTTTAGAGGGATAGGAAGCTCCTTTCCTTTAGGGATTCAGACCAGTCTACAAAGACCCATCCCCCACGACGTTCCGTTGCGTTCAGAGCCAGCTTAAATTTTGTGTACATGTGGCTGCGAAGTCGATTGTGGCCTGTTCTAAGGCGTAGAATAACGATTTGCTCTGGTCTTTCTATAAAATGGTTATCATCTTGTGCCGGTTTGGTGGCTTTCTGATTGATTTGATTATTCTCTTCTTTTGCTGAGAAAAGACTTGTACTTCAGGTTGTTCTTCAGTTACACCTTCCTTAGTTAGTTTATCAGCTCTTTCATTTCCTGCAACTCCATTGTGGGATGGTATCCACTGCATAATTACCTTACACTGACAGCCTAGTTTGGAGAGTATATCAGGTAGTTTTCCAGATTAGAGTGCATGAAGCAACGCTTTTGCATCTGTCAGAAATACAATGGGTTGTGAAATATGACGTATATTTAACAGTTTTTCTGCTGCTATTTTGATGGCTTAAACTGCTGCATTATAGTTGTAACAGTACTTTCCTGTAGGGATTTGGGCTGTATATGTGGTATTTTTCATATGTGCAGTATACACTCCTGCTCCTCCATTTCTGCTTGCAGAACTATGTCAGGTCTCAGACCGGTCTTCCGGATTGACTATGGGTACCTTCCGAAACCAGGCAGGTCGACACCCTGTAACCAGTCCCTCGCAGTCAAGATTTGGTGGAGAGTATGCAACCTTGTTGATTTTAAATGTTTATAAATCTGTCCAGCCTTGAGGAAGCGCATAAGGGTGACAGTAGGACTGGCCCTCGCATTGGCCCTCATCCAGGCTTGGTCCAGAATGTCCGCTAACTCTTCAGACTTTAGCGTGTCGAAAAGTATCTTTGCAGGCCTAGGGCTTTTTTCCACGCGAACAAAACGTGCTCGAACGTCTATACCATGTAACACAAAAGCGCAAGTCGTCGCCTTCCTCTGGTCCTAGTCCATGTGGTGTGGCGATGGTAATCGTTTCTGCTGTCCACAGCCTTCTAGATGGCCTACTGTCTACAGCTGTTGATATAATGGGTTATTTCTCCCATGCCATGATGTCAGCTATCATACTGTCTGTTGAAATCAACCGGCCTCTCCTTTCCTCCTACTGACTCATTATACCGCCAGCCGCCATCCTGTTTCTCTCGACGTACCGAACGACCCCCCCCCCCCACCCCCACCCCCTCCTTTCACGCTTCTCCAAAATATATCAATCTAACGTGAACAATGTTTAGGGTAGTTAAATGACTACCTCGTCGAGATAGAACTGTATGTGCTATCAGACCGTCTTTCAAGTCTGTTCAACAATAATGAGTTGAGAAGAGTTAGGAATTTAGGAACTGACATCAAAGTAGTCGGGTCATTCCTATATAAACTATGTCTTCGTCCCCAGCAGTTAGCAAAGAGATTCACACCGATAGTACCAGTCCACTCAACACTACGCAGCCATAAATGCTTCTTGCGTGAAGCCATTGTTTGTCTTTAGCAAAGCTGGTTAACATGTTTACAGATAACCTATGCAGATTATTTTTACTCATAAAAGTAAACACAATTTACACAGTTGACTTCTTTTATTTGCACGAAGCTACTGATATCACAATATACATGTCTGTCTCCAAGGCAGTGAAAAGCCAGCAATTACGTATCGAAGTTGTATATCTTCACACACTGTTGGTCTGCAGCCTTGATCGAGCTGAAATATACCTCGTTAAGAGAACACTGAGATCTGGCTCGTGTGTTACCGGGACCGTCCCGGAAAACAAATAATAGTAACACTGCACTCTACCAGGCATGTCGTAAGAGGTTACGGTTGGGCATGAGGCTGGCTACCTCATCCTGGAAAAACAATAGCCAAAAAAACCAACCAATTATGAAAAAGTCGACAAGAGAAACAAGAAAAACCCAGCCATCCATGATGAGCAGAGGCTCTTCTAGTAAAAGAAGGATGACAAGGTGTGGAGAAAGGAGTTCGGGTGGTCAACGTACCTCCTCTCACCTAGGAAAACCTCCAGAATTGTTATCTGGAATGTTAGAACTTTTATGCGATCTTGAAATAACAATAGATATATTGGGGGAAATGAAAGTTTATAAGATTTGTATTTTAGGATTATGTAAAACTAGATGGACCCAGGCGGGAAAAAAGTATTTTAAAATAATGGGAAACTATTTTATTTTCAGGACATTTGGAGGAAAATTCTCCCCACAGTAAAGTAGTGGCCCTGATGCTATCGAAAGAAGCAGCGAGAGCCCTAATCGAATGGGTAGCTGTTAGTCATAGAATAAAAAGAGCATATTTAGAACAGCGAAACAGAAGGTGAACATGTCGGTAATATACAGTGTTTAAGGATAAGGATGCATCAGTTAGGGAGGAATTTAACAAGCAACTATAATATATTTTAAATAATTAAATAAAGGGCAACATAAAAATCTGATGGGTGACATAAATGCTCAGACAGTATCAGATAACACAGGTTAGGAAAAGATTATAGAAAAACATGGTCTAGGAGTAATGAATGAGAATAGAGAATTGTTCACCAATTTTTGTGCAGGAAACCAGTATGTCATTGTTCAGGAAACCAGTATGTCATTGTTCAGGAAACCAGTATGTCATTGTTCAGGAAACCAGTATGTCATTGT